TCAGTCGCGAATAAACGCACTTGAAACTTGAAATAAGAATTTAAGAACATGAAAACCTAAAACATTCAAAATGAGAAAGGAAAATAATAGAAGTTAAAAACTTAATTATACAGTACGTTCTAAATGAGAACCTAAAAGGTACTTACGTATTAACGCAACCAGGCCAAAATTCGCATAAATCGCCAAATTTGGCGACCCTACTTACGGCAACCTTACATGTTATACGTAGTTCTTCGTAAAGAAATTACTTTTCTTACTGGTTAGATTGAATGCCTTGAAATACTTTAACTATGGGTATTTGGGATCTGCCTGCGAGTGAAAAAGATGCTGTTAAATTGTTGGAGGGATATGGAATTATACCGAGCGAACGTACTTGTAAAAATTCTCATAAAATGAAACTGTATTTTGGTAAGCAAATCTTCTGGAAATGTAACGTCGAAAAGTGCAATCAACATTTGGGTGTGAGAACCAGAAATTGGTTTGAAGGTAGCCGAATTTCATTTGTGACAGCGGTGCACTTCATTTATTGTTGGTGTAAAGAGTTAACTTCAATTAAATTTTGTGCAGAAGAGATGGGAATTGCTGACAAAACTGTTATAGATTGGAATAATTACATGCTTACATGCGCGAGATATGTGCCCTTGAAATGGATGAAAAAGAAAGAAAGCAAATAGGCGGCGAAGGAATAATTCTGGAACTTATTCAAATTCGAAACCGGAAGGGTTTAGTTTCTATTTTATATTTTAAAACAAAATAATATAAAAAACTGTATTAAAAATTATCTGTAATTAATAAATGTACATTTTCTTTCTATTCATACTTTTTTACTCAAACTTACAAATCGTGCCAACCTGGTTGCGATAATACGTAAGTACCAAATAGGGTAACAGTAATAAAAAACTAAATTGTGTGATTCAAATCTTATTTATTGCAACAACTTAAACTATTATGGCACTTTATGACCTCTCTTTTCGACTTTCACCGGAGCATATCTGCGTTTGTCGACATACACCGGTGAGAATCCGAATATACAAGAATGTAGTGAAATATTCGGTCTTTCACCAACGTATTTGGTGAATGTTGATATTCTCCGGTGAAAGTCGACATTCTCCGATTTCGGTCTTTCACGGTAACATATATATTTCTATAAAAGCATTCTTTGGTGAGTTTTGTCCTGTAAGGGAAAAGATCCAAAAAGCTAAGCAAAAGAAGCTTGCAAGGACTTGAAAACGAATCGTAATGTAAATATTACTGCAACCTTACAAATACAAATACAAACCGAAGACATTGCTAAAACAGGCTTTGTTTCCAAGAGAATTAAATCTACACTCATTAATATTAATAAGTGAAATCAGTTTATAAATTGCGCTTTTTGCTAAAATAACTATTTTAAAACTGATTTGGAGATAACTAATTTGCATTTTCATCATAGAATCCATTAGCTATTTGTTATGGTATGCAGCCTTTAAAGAAACAGATGTATGAACATGGAATACACAAACATAAAATGAATGTACAGTAAGTAATCTCTGAGATGACAATCCTCTCATATTTAGTCAATGGCCGTCTTAAAGAACCGACCGTCCAAAGTGAAGTTTTATTGATGTCATGAAATTAATACAACAGTTTTAATATACATTAGTTTTTTAACTTAAATCATAATTAAATGAGAAATTGATTACAGCAAGGGAAATTTTCTGTTATAGAACACATCCCAAACTATATTCCCTAGAAAATAAATGTACCAAGAGAGAAAACTTTATCATAAGCCGCATTTTCAAATGAGGTATTTTTTTATAAATATTATAAATGTATCTTTTCGATTACTTATTTGAATAAACAAGGATTGGAATAGAATGACACCCGTTAAAACTTCTAATTGACAGCACTTATTTTGAAAACAAGAAATCTTGTTATAACAAATATGAGCAACACACTCATATGGTAGTCAATAGGCAATGTTGTCGCGCATATCTTTCTGTACAAAACTGTTTAATACACGGTGTCCTATTACGGAAAGATTGTAGCAAGATACTAAGACACCTCTGCGCCTCTAGGAAGAGAGGCTTTTATGGAAATTTGAGAGTCTAACGGTCTTGTGGTTACGTTAGCCCATTAGTAGCCCAATGAATAAGATCTCTGAATGCTGATAGTTGGATCTAGTGATCAGACTACTTTATAGGAGTTTGCGTTATTTTCTTCCATGAGTAACTTAAATAACAACCACTTCCTGACAGAAACTGGACTTTCTAACAAATACAGACGGACCTTTAGAAGGGATCTCTAACATATCTGCTAGAGGACTTTATAACATCCATATTATTACGTATATATTCTACGTTTCAACTATATATTTATTTCAAAAGACAATCGGTAAACCTAGTTACAAAGGGTTTTTGTTTTTGTAGTGGTGAAAATTTCGTAGCGATCGCTTTGAGAAAGAATTCGAAGCATTGTTCCTTTACAGATTTTGCGGAAAAATAAATGTATTGCTGCAGAAATTTCACATCTCTTTCTTCTATCAGAGGAAAATTCTGAAAGGAAAAAACTTTAAAATCGAGTTTAAGACAAAAATTAATCACAGTTTTCTATAAAAGCTGTTGGAGCTTGGAATACAACAAAAAGAACTCTCACGAAAATAGCGACTTTGAAAACTGAATATTTGTCATTTCATTGAATAACTGGTACGCGCGTGGTTACCAGAGTTTAATGCGTTCTGAAGCTTTGGCGATTTCCATTAAGGTGGTTGCGATAATACTTAAATACCAGTCCAAAATTCTGCTTCAGATGAATATTTCTCCTTCAGAGAACATGGAAATAGTCATATAATCTGTCGCAGTGCGAGTGCTTGCAGAGTTGGAAATCAATTTATTGATGCCAAAATAAACAAACTTATGTACTTATATATTTTAAAACAAAACATAAAGCACTCAAAAAATGGGCACATTGTCGCTTTATATGCTTTACGAGAGCAAAGCATAATGCTCATATTTGCAAACTGTGGACTTTAACCTAACTGCCCGCATATAATAAAACCGCTCCAATACTTTCTTTGACTCACTAACTTGTGCACATGCGTTAAGTTGTGCTGAGCTGAATTTACGATTCATGCTAATATGCTCAAACCAAGGTATATTTTACTTCTTAGCTTCGTAGATCTTTGCGTTCTATAAAAAAATTTACACTTCCTCTTCATTTTTTAAGACCTGTAACTTCAGCCGTTACAGTTTTGCTCAATAATTAAGATAATAAGTAATTAAGATTTGCACTACGAGTACCATTTGTATCATCTACAGATTTATGCCATAATCTACGGTTGGTACTTTGCAGGCCTCAGATATTTGAACCCAGTTTTATTAACAACTTTAATTCTCATCGAAAATTTCAAATATATATTAGTTCATTCATAATTTTCAAGATTTTAATTTATCGCATTACAGCAAAGCACTTTTGGGCTACCGAAAACTGGTTCATTCACACTGCGCATGAGAAAAACCTTGAAAATGCTCATGTAGGAATCTCGTTCGTTGAGACTTTTCAGGATTTTGAGAGAAATATTTAAGCATAGCATAAGATATCGTAACATAAATTATTTATCATTATTGTGAATATCTGATCATTGATGTGAAAAGGGTTCATGAAATGTTTAATTTTTGGACCTGTAAGATTAAACCATTCCAGTTAGGTGCAAAATAAAAAAAAAAAGAGAAAGATCTTTGAAACGGCGGCAGTTTTTTTTTTTTTTTAACTGTCTTCTTGTTGGACGTTAAAAATCTAATTAACTTTATGCTTCTAGTAACTAAGTCTTGAAAAATAACTTACAACATAAATTCCTCATAAATTTCATAATGATTTTTAAGCTACACATAAAAGCAATTCAGGATTGGATTATATTATATTACTCTTCATTTAAAATGGAATTTTGTCATATTTCTGTGTTTCCAGGATAGGCACTCGAAAAACTGTTAGAAGTCAAAATAGCAATATATACACAATTTAGCATTTATTGTACACAAAACTTCCTTAAAAATATTTATTAAATTAACGAGTAGCAACATTTTGTTTCAGGTTCTGAAATAACAGCTAGCCAATGAAGATATTAAAAACAAAAAATCTGGGTTAATCTTTGGATTATGGTAACTTGGCGATTTTTTGGCGACCAACCCTGCTACAGCAAACTGCTAGTTTTTGTTAGGACGCCATTTTGTTTTCACGAAGTAAAGGCCTTTTTTTTTTTACTCAATAATTTTTTCTAACAATCTGCTAGCCGAATTACGCTTATGCTAGAACTTTTATAGAACAAAAGTGCTTAATCATGACGAAGATTAGGTGCGAAATTGGGAGAAAGTGCACAATCGCAAACTGTTTGCCGCGTTTTTAAGAAATGCACATACATGGTATCCATGTACACGTCGACCTATCTTTTTACTTTAACATCCCAGAATTGCACAAAAATGGCATTGCGCACACTCTTGACTTTATCCATGTACACTGCTAGAGTCCTAGCTAGTAACCTTTATCGCCTTAACCAAAATGTCGCCAAACTACCTGTTACCATAATCCAAAGATTAGCCAAAATCTGCAAAACTGAGCCATTTTCAGGACTTATTAACAGAAATTGACGGAAACCGGTAAAATAACATTCGACTAATAAGAAGTTGAAATTAAATAACATTTTCATTTTATATTATTTATATTATAACTATTTCAAATATTACAGAGCGAGACAAAATATTTAAACCCATTCAACTTTTTTAAAGTTACGAATGAAGCACAGAATCGTATCACTGAATCAAATAAAACTTCCTAAACCTTAACCAAATCAGAAAACTTTTAACACAGGATCTCCGATACTCATGTAAACAATGATGACAACAGTTTATTATACACCTATTAACTCCAATGTTTTATGATTAAATATCACTATTAACGATAAAATATAGATATTTCAAGTATAAAAATTATAAGCAGTTTTAAGAAACTACTTGTAAAACGCATACCTAAGTGCTTGGATACTGGATACAGGTCACTCAAATCCACACCTGTTTTCCTTATGCGCTTCGTACTGAATTATTTCCACATACTTTCCAGAGGTGGTTTACAGTTGTGGTTAATCATAAGTATTGTAAAGAAAGCCTCCCAGCGGCATACATGCAACTCAGAACGACGTTTCTGGACGTACAGTGCGCCAAAAAAAAAAGAAGAAAGGGACAGTTCTATATCACCCGTTCTACTGGGCCGATTGGCGAAATTCAACTTGCGTTTTTCATGTCTCAAAAGCGTGACTCAAGATATGTACTAGATTTATAAGTAGCATTGTTCTAATATAGGTATTTTGATACAAAATCGAACTTTTTCTGACATGACATGCCATTATTTTCCATATTTCGGTTCTACGACTTAAATTATGCCAAAGTGCCAAATTTTGTAAAAATCGCACGAGTAGTTTTTAAAAAATTAGCTCTTCAAATTTTATATCCTCAATGTTAATTGAATTTTGTATATATTTATTATTCTCTCTTTTATTAAACTTATTTGATTCAGCCTTTCACATTTCGAAATCTAAGTTCATTCCAAATAATATTCAGCCATTTTTTATGATTTATTTTTAAATAATTTTTATAAATGTTTCGAAAAAACTTTGAATTATAACCTATAAAATTGTTACCATCATCTTAAAGTCGATGTATTTCTAAGCATATCTGCAAAACATCACGTTTTTTATTCAAAATTTCTGAAAATATACGTGAATTTATATACAGTGTCTCAAAAAAGTGATGGGACACTTGTGCTTTACAAAAGGAAACTGCAATAAAATAAATTTAAAAAACATGTAAAATTTTTTGTGGGTGTGTTTCATACTTAAATTTAGTAACAATTACTACATAACATATATTTTCTCAAAATATTAAAATATTAATTTAATAAAAATGCAATTGTTTAGAACGGAGCAGAAAATGTCTCACTTAAGTAATGAGACACTTACTTTTCCATCAAATATTTATCCAAAAATTTTACTTTCCATAAGGTTTTAATATTTTGTTGGATCTCCTTTTACTTTTAAAACATGATTTAATCTTCTTGGGATGGATTCGACTAATGTCTTTGTGATTTTACCCCATTCTTCTTGAAGCACCGATTTGAATTGTTGTTTTCAAGAAATGGTGTGTTTGCGAATTCTTGATTCCAATTCTTGCCAAATATTCTCTATGGGATTTAATTGTGGAGATTGTGGGGGTGTTTTTATTATTTCAGGACAGTTATACAGCAGCCAGAGTCTAACGTTCAAAGCACTGTGCTTGGGGTCATTGTCCTGGTAGAATTTAAAATCGTTATGAAAGTTCAATTTTCGTGCTGAAGATTTCAAATTTTGATTTAAAATGTCAATATACTTGTACTGATCCATTATACTGTCAATAAAAACAAGGGTACCAACTCCAGCGGACGACATACACCCCCATACCATAACTCCTCCTCCACCATGTTTTACTGTTGGCACCAAGTTCTGTTTGCGAAATTCTTCCCTGGGTTTTCTCCACACCAAGATTGTACCGTCAGAACCACATATATTAAATTTACTCTCATCAGCAAATATAACTTCATTCCAGTAATCAGAATTCTTATTTATGTTGGATTTTGCGAAAGCCAGTCTGAGTTTTCTATTCTTTTCACTTACGAAGAATTTTTTCCTGGCTGCTCTACCGTGATATCCAGTAGATCGAATTACTCTTCTAATAGTCTCAGAATTAACAATTACTCCATAAAATGCTTGTAAATCAGCAGCAACTTTAGGAGCACCCATTCTTGGATTTTTTTTAAATATTTCGAACGATAATTCGCTTTATTCCATTGCATAGCTTTGATGGTCGGCCAGGTCTTCTTTTATCCTGAATCATATGATTCTTTTTATATCGTTTAATGATATTGAAAACTGTTGAATGACTGAAGTTAACTGTTTCAGTAGTTTCTCTAATAGATTATCCACGTTCAATATGCAAATTAATAACTAATTTTCGAATTCCATTTCGAATTTCTTTTCGTTTAGCATTCATGGCTGCACAGAGCTAAAAAACACAAAAATTCCAAAACCAACTGGAGAGAAATACTGCAGACGATTTTATAAATTATTGGCAATTGCTTTTGAGTAAAAATAAATACTCCAAAAGATATTTTTATTGCTTACTTCAGACGATTTTTTTTGCATAGTACGTAGTGTCCCATCACTTAAGTGAGCCATTTTCTGCTCCGTTCTAAACAATTGTATTTTATTAAATTAATATTTTAATATTTTTAGAAAATGTATGTTATGTAATAATTGTTACTAAATTTAAGTATGAAACACACCCACAAAAAATCTTACATGTTTTTTAAATTTATTTTATTGCAGTTTCCTTTTGTAAAGTACAAGTGTCCCATCACTTTTTTGAGACACTGTATTAGCGAGTTTTGAAATTTGGCATATTTGTTGAAAGCGATAATAACTTCAAATGTGGTTTAGGCACTTTGTTAAAATTATTTGAAGGTAGGAACGATGTGACTTTGTTTCCGCTCCTGCACAATAGAAGGGAAAGGAAAATAGGTTGCTATATATTAAGAAGTTCGCCAAGTGAATTATTCTTGGCGCAAACTGAAAAAAAACCGCACCAAAATAAATTTTTGAATTTCTCCGTCAATTTCGCACCAAATTTTGCAAAATTTAATATTTAGGATAATGTGAGTCGTAGAATCGAAGTGTGGGAAAACTTTGGTATGGTATTTCACAAAACGTCCGATTTTGTGCCAAAATACCTATGTTAGACATACCTATGTTATACCAAATACCTATGTTATATATAAATCTAATATATATCCTTAGTCGCGCTTTCGAGACATGAAAAACGCAATTTAAATTTTGTCAATCGGCCCAGTAGAACGGGCGATATAGAACTGACCTTTTTTTTTTGCGCAGTGTACATTCAATGTCCGATTGCTGATTGAGATGCGTCTCTAGAAGACAAATGGCTAAATGAAACAACATTAAGCGATGTCATTTTCTACAAGTATTAAAATATGGATAGACGAATACGCAAATACCAGTAAATAGGATTATCCTCTGAACCATCTGAACACACTTTTGTTTTAGGAGATTATAAAAATTATGTTGTCTTTCCCTTCTTTCCATCTATAAAGTTTCACGTATTTTACAGAAATTTAACTTTCGGGTCGTTTATTCTCCCATCAATAAAATTCCGAGTTCCATACTCAAGGACCCCATTCCGGATATGAATTCCTGGGGTATTTACAGAATTTCTTGCCAGTATGGTTTAATTTACATTGGCCAAACTAAGAGAGCCTTAAAATTTCGCGTTAAGGAACATGAGGCATATGTTAAGAAAAAGGAAACACGGAAGTCTTCTGCTGCCCAGCATTGTTGGTCCGAAAATCACACTTTCAGTTTTTCTGCTGCCAAAATTATTCAAAAAACATCTTCCATTGGTGAACTGGATTTTCTAGAGGCATTTCACATTCAAAAAAAATCTTTCTGTTTTAGTTAACGACCCTTAATTCCAATCCATCTTTACCTTCAGCCTCTTAAAGGAATTTATGTTTTAGTTTTCTGGTTTCATCAACAGATGAGGCCAGTAGCTTGACTCCTTTCCAAACTTTCTTATGTTATCTTATTTAATCATTATATCTTATCTCGTTCATCTGCGCTTTTGCAACTGAGGATGATGGTTCGATAAAACCATTGAAACAAACTAGTGCTGTGAAAATTTGAAAAATATAACGCTGATTTTTGTTGTTTGACTTCTATATTAATATTTGTTCGCCGTGTTAGTTTATCTCAACTTCGGTAGATATTGATTTTTCAACTGAAAAAGAGGCTTCTAAATGGAGAAATTTGAGTTTATGTGTACAATCAGATTACATATTTTAATTTTTTCATACTCAAATCTTTCATTCTTTTTTCGTCTTGAAATAATTTTTGATAGCAAAATATTGCATTCGTTATCCTTGTGTTTGAACTTCCACTAACATCTACGCTAAACAGACAACAGTTTCCGTTATTATATGACAACATACTTTTTTCTGATTAATTTTGCCCGAACTTCATTAACGTGAAGTTTCAAATTAAAATTTTAAACTGTTTGACAGGTTAACAATATTCAGTTATTCTAGAGAATCTAATCATTCCATGATTCAAGCCATTCATTTAGCGTTTACTGAAGCTTGAAAACAGTTTCTACTAGCTAACTAATAATTCGATAGTGCCGATAATATTGAATGAACTCGTTATGAACAAAAGTAAATGTATCACTTTTCGAGCGCTCGAGGGCAATCGCATTATATCGAATCAGAATTGAACAAGGTAGCGTTTAAGTGCGCCGATCCGTCACGTTCTCTTGAATTATTAATATTTCTTATGAAAAATAAGAGATTCGATAATGAATTAGACAATCGACAACAAATCACGCATGGGGGTAGACTTTCGTCGAGAATTTCCTATAGTAAATAATCTTATATTGTGGAAACTGTTACTAAACAAAAGCGAAGAAAATAAAAATGCAAGTAATTCGATCGGCTATGGACTCCAGGGCAAAATCCTGAGGATTCGGTAACACAAAGGGTCTGTCATATTAAGCAATAGTTTTCGCAAATCGGAAGGTAAGATTTTTTTTTCTTCTGATAAAGAAAGACCTGTACCTGTTTGCCCTCGAAATCGACTCAGTTCTTCACTAAATCTGCGCCAAACACGAGTTTGTTGCTTTGCTGATTTATTTTAAACTAATAGCAACTTTCTGAAAATTTACTCATGTAACTAGGCTCTTTAAATAAAGGCACATCTTTTGGCATATACTCTTTATAAGCATATACTTTTGGTGCTGCCGATTGCAACCAAAAAAGGAGCTGCACATCTATATGTTATAGCAGTTCTATGTACAAAATTTCAACGTCCTGAGGCTACTCGTTTTTGAGTTATGCGAGATAAATACATACATATATACAAACGTACATACATACGCCACGGAAAAAAAAAAAATCTCTTCTGAATCCATTTTAAATCAGTTTTATAATTTGTTTGGGTAGAAAGAGTCCTTTATTCCGTCCT